AACCAAATATTTTTAGAGGAAGATTGGATGAAAATGCTCTAACATGAGGGTATTTTTCTATCAAAGCATGGACAAGGGTTTTGGATCGAAGAACCCTGCTTGGCATTTTATTAATAAGGTAGGTGGTTGTGAGCACATTTCCCTAAAAAACTATAGGGATATTGTGAGAAAGATATAGATTTAGATACATCAAGGAACTGACTATTCTCCCTCTCAGCTATTTCATTTTATTGTGAAGTCTCAACAAAGGAACCTACATAGATGATATCATACTTTACAAGCAAGAGTCAAAGGATAGAGTTGAAGTATTCTTTCATTATCAATTTTGAGAATCTGAATTTTGCATTGGAACTTAGTGTAAACCTCGTGCAGTTTTAGGTTTCTTCTTTATCGGGAATATCCAATTGGTTCTAGTATAATCATCAATGAAGGATACAAACCATTTGTGTTCATTGATGGTTTTCAAATTTGAAGGTCTCCAAATATCACTATAAATGATACAGAAAAAATGTTAGGGTTTGTACAGAGACAAAGGATATATATGATAAGTATGTTTCGTCAATTGTCATGTTTCACGCTGATAGAACTCTGACTTTTTGTTAATAAAGAGATGGGGATATAACTTCACAATATAAAGAAAATTGAAATGACCGAGATGATAATATCATAATGAATCTTGACTTTCACCATCTCAGGATCATGAGAAGAGAATAATGGGGATGACACTTGTGTGTTAAGAGAATACTTCTACTTGAGTAGGTATAGACTTTGAAGCAATTTAGCACTGCCAATCATTTTCCTTAAATTCACCACCTGAAATTCACAAGAGTTAAAATAAATTTAGTAACACAGTGCAGGTCATGAAGAAACTTGCTAATTAAAAGTAAGTTGCAATCTAGTTGGATAACATATATAAAAGTTGAATATTTTTGGAGACTTTCACATCTCATTTCCCAACAATCCTAAAGTGAGATCCATCGACAAGTCTAATATTGAGATTGGTGATCTCTTGGTACTTGATGAGAGCACGAATGTCCTCATTCATGTGATAAAAAGCACCTAAACCTTATTATGCGTGGTTGAAATCCTCCATTGTTAGCAAGAAAAAAAGGAAATGATACATTGGTGTATCATCAATCTAGTAGGCTTCGGATTAGAAGTAGACGTCGTCATAAATCCTATGCACGTTTAGGGCTAGAAGAATTCCTGGCTACTACAACCTGCGGAAGTGGAGAAACTCTGAGAAGCCGGAGAGGTTTGCTTGCTCAGGAAGGAGCAGCTGGGTCACTAGCTCAAAGGCAGGTTGGTTGCTTGCTACCTGCGACAACCCTAGTGGAGCGAAGACTTGGAAGGTTGCAAGGAAGCCTGTGGAAAAGCATACAGCGAAGCCTATAGGGAAAAGATAGCCTGTAGTTGGATGCATGCAGGGAATCCACAAACTGGCATGAGGCTGTAGAGAAAAGCTCTATCAGAGAGACTGCGGCGAGACAGGTGCTACTGCTAATGTTACTATTATAAAAGGGTTCTACCGGAGGAGGAAGACCTACAATAAAGATAATTCAGGTTGCACAGAGAATCTGATAGTAAGAACTGAACAGAAGGGATCCTGCAGAGAATTTTGGTGTCAGTAAGAGGAGGGACTACATAGGAGGGCCTGCAACCGAAGGACTCGGGCTGCAAGGAAAGGGAGAGTTCTGGAGGCTGAGAAATATAGAGGAAGGCCTTCAATAAGA